GTCCTTTCTATCTTTTCCCCTCTCTGTGTTCTCTTTGCTCCGCCTCTTATCCACAGTATTAGAGGGTGATGGTCTGATTCTACTCTATCCCCTATTTCTAGTCTTTCTATTTTTTCTCTGCTATCCTCATCACCTATAATATAGTCTATAACTGTTTCACCCTTTCCTCCCGTGTATGTGTATTTTCCTTCCTCGTCTCCCTTCGTGCCACCATTTAAAATCATCAATCCTCTTTCTTCTATAAATTCTAATAGCGTCCTACTATCCTTGTTCACCTTCTTATCTTTAGATTTTCTCCCTCTTTCTTTCCCACTTTCTTCATCTTCCTCTTCCCTTCCTCCCTCATCTCCCGTTCTCGCATTAAAGTCACCTCCTATTATGGTCCTTACTCCTATTTTTCCCTCCTCTATGCAATCATTCAAACCTTCTAACTTTTTATCAATGTCTTTGTTTACATATATTCCTATTATTTTCCATATTTCCTCTCCTATTCTTAGCTTGACTTCGACCCTATTTTCCTCCTCTTCCCTCCCTCTACCCTCCTTTATTTCTTCTAACCCTTTTCTTATACCTACTAGCATTCCTCCGCATGCTCTACCTTTCTTATTCCTCCTTTTCGCTATTTGTACTCTTCAACCAAATTCCTTTGGTAGTTTCTCTTCTATCTTCTCCCATCCTTTCTTATCCATCCATGTCTCCATCATAATAATCACATCCCACTTCTTTACCCCCTCCCCAAAGTCTCTATCTTTATTTATTATTCCCGCTACATTCCAGAATACCACCTTCGTCTCTTCCCTCACCCCTCTTTCTCCCTCCCCTTCCTTTATGTCTACGTCTTCCTCAACTCTGGATTCACTTCCTGCCACTCTCTCTCCCTTCTCCCTTTTACCTTCACCATCCTCCTCGCATTCTTTGTTTTCATTCTCTTCGTTGTGTATGTGTGTGTGTATGTGCCAAATTTACCGAAATTTCTATAAGTCCAGAACTAATCAACCAAATCTTAACAAATTATATATGAAATAGGGGTAGAAAAAACTGAAGAATATAATAAAATTAATAAAAATTGCTAATAATCAAGGGGTTCTTTTTTAATAAAATTTTGAATTTTTTCAGAAATGTTTGTTTATGCTTTAATTTCCGCAAATTTAGAGAGTAGGAGTTATTTTGAGAGATCTACCCCGGGGGCTCCGAGGGGGGGAGCGGGGCGGAGGAGTACCGCGTGCAAGGCGGAGCGGGGCGGGAAAGGGGGTACCGCGGGCGAGGGAAGAGCGGGGCGGGGGAACTCGAGGGCGAGGGGGTCCGCGGGAAGGGGGGGACTCGAGGGCGCGGGTGGTCCGCGGGGAGGGAGGATGGTCGGCGAGCATGTCGGGACATGTTTATTATATGTTAATAAACATATTGTTGACAAGGGTACCGCCGAGGGGGGGGGGTGTCCGCGTTCTACGCCGAGGGTGGTCCGGGGGAGGGAGTAGGTGTCCGCGTTCTAAGGCGAGGGGGTCCGCGCGGGAGGGTAGGTGTCCGCGTTTTAGACCAAGGTGGTCCGCGGGGGGGGGCATCACTTTATCGGCGCGGGGTATTACAAAGGCTAACGGGCGCCGTTCGGCTGCTGGAATTTTATCGGCGGCGCGCCGCAAGAGGATGGGGTTCCGCGTCCAACGGCCACGTCGGTCCGCGTGACGTCACACGGCTCGCCCGCGTCTCATTCGCGTTGTCTTTCCCTCAGCGCGGTCTCTCTCTCGCTCCCGTTCTCCTTATTGATGTTCTCTCTTGCTCCCAACCTCCTGTGTCTCTCCCCCGTTCGCGCGCGTCTTTTCGTTGGCGTTCTCTTTTCCTCGCGCGGATTTAACTTAATAATTATTATTATTTAAAATATTATTATTGTTATGAAATATACTTAATAATAGTGAAGAAAGCGGAAAAATAAATAATAAATAATGTATATGGAATTAAGCATAAAAATATTTATTCATGAAACTTTAAAAAATTTTTTAAAATTACCACATCTCTTTTTTTTCAACGTCAAACTCATTTTGCATATCGAATCGTCTCCTAAAACGTCCCAGATTTCCTCGTTATATTCGGAATCCACTCTTCTAAACCAGCGTACCAAACGCTGACGATGTATATTGATAAATCCCCGAATTCGGATTTTATCGAAATATATAAAATCCTGAAAAAGAATTTTAAAAAATTTAAAAAAAATTTAAAAAGTTTTAAAAAATTTTAAATCTGTGAAAAAATATTAAACACACCTGTCTGTGAGGGATCCGAACTCTCGCCATATTATAAAGGCGGACCTCGCGCACCGGCACGTTGTCGACCCATATCCACTCTAACGCGTTAACAGAATGGTTAATTTGTTAAAAAATATATAATATACAATTATGTATTGTTGCGTGCATGCCGCCCGGTATGCTTTTTCAAAAATGTTACGCCCAAGCCGACAGTGAGTCCGTGACTCTCTCAGACACTTATTCACACTCGCGCACTCACGAAAATAACGACGATTTAAACGATCGTCGTGACGAAGTGACGAACTGCACGCTTCAGCTTGGAGTTCGAAAAGCATACCGGGCGACACGCACGCAAAGGTATTAAGTATACATACTCCTACTGCGGGGTACACAATTTCTATGCATTCTTTGATTATGTGATATCTTCGTTCCATTTCTTCTCGTTACTTTTCTTCTCGGTCCATTTCTTATTCTTACACAGTGCTCTACTTGCGCTTGCGAACGTTTTCACTGACTTAACTGACTGCAGAGGACTGAACCAGAGCTCAGAAAAGTAATTAAGATAAAATATATTTAGCATTACAATAGCGAGAAAAGATTCGTTGGAGCATCAACACCACATAGGCGAGCGTCGCCGGAGCATGGCTTCATAGTTTACGATATATGATATACCTTAAATTTCAAGCGGCCCGAATGGTTCGAGTTGAACGTTGCATATACGGCTCGAATAGAAATGCGTGAAAAGAAATTAAGTCATAATTTATATTTTAAAAATACATTTTTTTATTCTTCTTCTTTTACATATTTTTTGTTTTTTTACGTACTACGGTAGCGCACTAAAAAATAAAGCTGCGAGCTCACAATCGACGAGCTGATGTTTATCGAAGGCATTGCTATCGCGTATTACATTCAATACTTGCGTAGGATTTGTTACAGTGGACGCGATTTTGGAGAATTGCGTGAACTTGACATCGACCGTTTCGACAATTCTACCCAATCGATGGAACATCGCGTCGATGCACGGATCAAGATCGAGCATACGGTGTAACATCGATTCGATCATTGTTAAGCGTACGTTTAAAGACTCGAGACGTACGAGTTTGACACCGTTAATCGTACAAATTCTCAATGTTAGCGGTCCAACGCTTATAAAATCACACGTATTTTTAGAGGATCGAATGAAATTCAGAATGTTCCGTCGTTGTTCGTAGAATCCCTTCCATGTTTCGAGGGACAGTATCAATTCCGTTCCTCGATTATCTCCTACGGCGATCTCCACGTAATTCGGTGGACCCACGTTAACGCCAACTTCACGGAATTTGTATCCCGTAGCCGTCAACGCGTATCGTCTGCTGAGTATACGAACCGCGCGACGCTTCAACGAAATGCTGTAAAAAATAACGAAATTAGTAATAAAAAAATAATACAATTTATAATTTGCAATTTAAAAAATATAAAAGCTTTATAATTTAAGAAAAAAACAAAAAAACTTACTTGTTACACTTGTTCTCGTACGATGGAGTTTCATCATCATCATCGTGAATCGGTACGTAATAATTCATACGTCTACTGCCACTGCTGTTACCGCCGTTGCTTCCTTCAACGGAATACATTCTTTCTCTCGGATATGAGAAGTGAACACCGTTCGCACAAGCAGTCGATACGAGACTAATCGTTTTATACGATGATGATGATGAAACTCCATCGTACGAGAACAAGTGTAACAAGTAAGTTTTTTCGTTTTTTTCGATTAATTAATTGAATATACACGGCAACTTCCAAAACTATGATGAAGGAAGGGGAAACTAATGTTTCTGGAACGCCCAATCAGCGCTCTGAAATTTAGGAGAGGGGATTAGGGTAGGATGTTTTTTTTTTATTAAGATGTATCCCCCCCTCTCCCTTCCGCATGACATCAACCGTTGCAACCGAAACATGTTCAGACATGTTCGCTGACACCTGATACCCCCCCTCGAAGCTATCAAGTTAGAATTCGTCACGTATACCTACTTATTCTTTAATTTTGTACACTATCGACTAATGGGGGAAAGGAAATAAAACATTGTAAAATTTACACATACATACATATAAAATTTTTTTTTTTTTTTAATGACAATTCTTTCTGGCGTTTCGACCACCAGTTAAATATTTTTAATACATTTTGCAACGCGCAATTCTTAACGTGTTTTCTACATCTCATAGTATTAGTAGCATCTAGAATATTTAAAGATTCGATATCTTCGTAATCCGCATCCAGAGTCTCGATGTTTTTTTTTCGCTTTATTTTCAAGCAGATCCACCAGTCATTCTCGTTTCTGACATCCCTTGACGTACACGAGAGTCGGCATCTCGTCGTCGTCGTCGTCGTCATCGTTGTCGTCCTCTTCCTCACCGAGCACGGCCGACGTAATTAAACGCTTCACCTTGCTGTACGGCACGTTTCCGTCTTCCCATCGTAATCCATGGTGATTGCGAATCAACCAAGAAGCGCACGATTTGTCGGATTTTGTGAGGAAATTCCACGGCATGGGGCATGTAAAGATGTAATGCGCCAGAACGGCCCCGTTTCTCAGCACCGCCACCTCTTTCACGACAAATTTCATCCCGACGACGAAACCTTGCAGGTCGACGAACGTTGGTGCGGGCATGAAGAGATATCTCTTTCTTCGATGCGTGAATCGAGAGGAATGACGCGCGTTTCGCGACACTCTGATTTTTATATCCTGCTCCCCTTTTTCCCCTCTCATAAATTTGTATCGGGAGTTAGTAGTAGTAGTAGTAGTAGTAGTAGTGGGAGGTACCACCAGGGTCCCTGTCGGCCACCAGATGTAGCTGATCCTTTGTGCCTTCCCACTTGTTTTTTGCTAGGTCTCGAGATACAGTCCTGAGCCTTGTACCAGGTTTATCAGATCTGTAACCCTAGCATTTTCTAGATCCTGTGGAGTTAGGTACATACATCCCCAGGTTTTGTATCTTTTACATATAAATGCCGGGCATTGGCATATTATATGTACGTTGTCTTCTTTCTCGTCTCCGCAAAGGCGACATGCCTTTTGCTCTGCGAGCCCGAGATTAAAAAGGTGTGCTCTGAGTATGGTGGAGTGACCAGTAAGCAATCCCAACGCCATTCTTAGTTTCTGTTTACTCAGCGCCAGTAGTTTTTTAGCCCTACCTGGTCTGCTGTCTTTCATCAAAGTCCTGGCCTGGCGGCAGATTTTTAACTTCTTTCACCTGGCCAGGTGTTCCCTTTTTAGGCGACCTTTGATAATTTCTTTGCCTACTGCAAAGGGTATTTCCGTCACCTGGCCAATTGGTGTTTCATTAGCCCCCTTCTTGGCATGCATGTCTGCGGTTTCGTTCCCTGGTATTCCTTGATGCCCAGGCACCCATACTAGCGTGACCTTATTAAGTCCGCCTAATTTTTCTAATGCTAGCATGCAATCCCAAACCAATGCTGATTCGGGAGTTGTTTTTGCCAGCGCTTGTATGGCTGCTCTACTATCCGAGCAGATGTTTATCTTCTTTCCCTTCGTATCTTTGTTTAGCAGATATTCCGCGCACTTTAGGCTAGCCAGTATCTCAGCTGTAAAAACAGTTGAGTGGCTTCCCACAGGAATACTCTCCCTGTGGTTCTCCTTCGGCCCGTAAAATCCTGCCCCAAAGTAGTCATTAATGCCTGACCCATCAGTGAACCATAGATCCACATTGGGATCCCTGACTCCCCCCGGGTCAGACCATTCTTTTCTAGTTGGTATTTGTATCTTAAAATGTTTTACCAACTGGTATTTTTTAGGAACTCTATCTTGTTTTAAAGTGAAAGGGTGTTTCTGGAACAGGTCGAGCCTTGTACGTCTCGTTCCTGTATTTCTCCATTCTCCCTGACACCTTAGTCTATAAGCTGTGTTCCTCGCTGCGTTTACTACGGCCAGGTC